ATCCACTAGACAGCCACATGTGTGTGATCAGTAACCTGAAGTTACGAGATGGTTTGATCAAAGAATGACACAAGATGGCTGTGAAAGAATGAAAATAAGTGTCATATGAAAGTGATGAAGCTAATTAGCTCATATGATGAAATGAAAAATGTGCACATTACAAGTGATATGAGTTCAAAGTCCTCCTATTATATGTTGAAATTGAGAATGAAATGGAGATTATATGAACTCCTCTCAAGAAACTCAATACTGAAAATATAGATCAGGGATCTGTTAAGATGAGGGGGAGAATCAATTATTGAAATTTTAGAAATGATATATGCATCACACTGAAAGTGTGCAAATCATAAACTAAATGATACTGACGATGGTGGTGAAATATATGAAATGATATGATATGCTGGAAGCGTTGGTATTGTGCAAATTGAAATTCCTCAAATAAGTGATGAAAGGAGGCATATATATACGAAATTAATTGATAATGAGATATCTCAATATATTACGGGGAATAATGGAAATGAATATGTGTCGACATAAACAAATGAATAGCGCTATATAAATGATATTGATGAGAATGAAATCAACTGAAATGTGAATATTGGAAACTATTGGCAGTAAGACTATTGAAATCGATTGATGATAAGAATGAGTTTAAGAATGAAAGTTGCACAAAAGCATGATATGGCATATTATCATAAATACCACGAGTATCTGAAAATCTTAATGAATCTATATGATATTCATGAAAATTATGGCAGTGTTATTATGGTGAATATATGGAATACGCGTTGTACTCTTTTTCCCTTGGCTAAGGTTTTGTCCCATTGGGTTTTCCTAGCAAGGTTTTTAATGAGGCAACAGGGATGGCGTATTCACATGAATAGTGTACTCTTTTTCCTTCATTAGGATTTTGTCCCACTGGATTTTTCCTAATAAGGTTTTAACGAGGCATATTCATGGTATAATGAGGACTACTGAATAATTGATATGATTCCTCATGATGATGAAAAAAGACTGGAGTGGATGTACTCTTTTTCCTTCGGTCAAGTTTTGTCCCACTGGGTTTTCTTGACAAGGTTTTAACGAGGCAGCACGTGAATACTCCATTAAAGATGATCTATTTGAGGGGGAGCAATGTTGTGCTTCCACAATGCTCAGGTTTTGTCCCACCAGGTTTTCCTGAGGAAGCAATGTTATAATTTCAAGATGATCAGGTTTTGTCCCACCGGGTTTCCCTGAGGAGAAATGTTGAGATTCTACAATGATCAGGTTTTGTCCCCACTGGGTTTTCCTGACATGCTGAAGCAACGGTACCTGATGGCCACAAGATATACTTGAAGATGTGCAGATTGGGCCTTGTGCAAATCAGTTAAAATATGTTTAGAAATAGTCATTCAAGGGGGAGTGTTGTGAAATATTTATTATAAAATAATATATGTGAATGACTATTTTGCCCCTAATGTATTTGTATTATTACGGTTGTGCCATCAGAAGTTTCCTATAAATAGGAGCTTCAGTTATAATGAAAATTGCACCTAAGAGAAACATTTTCTCTATTCTCTCTCTTTCTCTCTAGTTTTATAACACATAGAAAATTTATTTCAAATATTCACTTTCTTCTTCTTTTTCCCTTTTCTTCTTCTTTCATGTTTTCTCTTTCTTCTTCCATTTTCTTCTTCTTCAAATATACATGCCTAAAAACTTATGAAAAAAAAATTAATAAAAAAATATACATAGAAAATTTATTTCAAAGTAAGTGGTCGATTGGGCAACCACAAATAAAAAAAAAGCACATCTTATCATGTCTGTGAATCATGTATGTAAACAAGAGAAAAAAAAATAAAACAAATTTTTGTGCAGCAACAACAAAAAAACAACAGAACACCTATCAAACAACATATATAAATAACAAAAAATAAACAAAAGTTCAATCAAAATTTTGGTTAAGATTTGGGCTAACCAATTAAAAAACTGACGGCAATTGCACAGAAAATAGAGAAAAGTACATAAAATCAAACACCCCAAAGAATAATCAAATCCCAAAAATAATCAGGCTATAAAATAAAAAAATAAAAAATTAGCAAAACTAAATTATTGACCCCCGAACTTACCTCTGGCAGCAAGACGATTCGTGCTCTCATCGGACTCATGCTCGGCAGAGAAAAGATCTCACAGCAGTGAACTGGACAAACCGAGTAACCAATATGCCGAGGAGCCTCGCCAGCTCGGCAGCAGAGGGTGCATTAATGACAGAAAAGACTTATAACCAATCATGGCCAATTAAATGAAGGAATAATTACTAGATTTAGTATGAATTATGTACTACACATAGTTGTACTACACACACTTGAACTGTGAAGTGTAGTACAACTACTATAAATAGAAGGGTCACCCATTCTCTAAGGATCTTTTGGCCAACTAAAGATACAGTTTAAAGATTATGCGCCGAACTGTCAGGATAGTTCGGCTCTTACAAAAAAAGAACAATAAAATCTTCATAAATTTCCCCAAACATTGGTTGTTGCGAAAATTGTTGACAACACTAATCACAAAAAAAAAAAATCAGGTTTTTAACATATTCTGCAAATGATAAATGAAAAATTACTAAAAATCACTCGAAAATAATATAAACATCCAAAACCAAATCTGAACACATTGCACAAACCACCTATCGATGGGAACACAGATCCGAAGCAACCCGTCACATTTCAACGGTGAACCTCGGCTCCGATCTACTAACAGTCGCCAGTGCCCGCCACTCTGCCGCTCACGAACCGGTACCAAGCGTCAGGCCCTTGTTGAACCCCGTAATTAGTAATGAACTTCGGTTATAGGAATACAAGGAATGGGGATTGAGTCACTAACCGAAGGATTTTTCTGTTCATTTTACGATAATTTTCTTTAAACATGAGAAATCTCGAAAAAGGAAACAGAGAGAAGAAAGGAAAATAAAAAGAAGAATAAGAGATATAATTAAAAGATAAAAGAAAGAAAGAAAAAGTAAGAGAAAATATTGAAGAGAAAGGGAGAAAGAGGTTGAAAAGGTCAATAAATCAGTTGATATTTGCCATGTATAAAAAAGAAACCAAAATTCTAGTTTTGGCTAAATAATATACTGATTCATTATTGTAAATAATTTTTTAGAATAGATAAAGGGAAGTCATTAAGGGCTTGATTGTTTACAAATTATTTCACTCACTTTTATTTCAACTCAAAATCTAACTCAACTTTAACTCAACTTCACTATCTTTAATATTATTCATATAATTAAATAATACAAACCAATTATTCTTACAGATCACATCAATTTTAATTCACCGTTTATCCACTCAAATAATTTTAACGACATATCATTTTCAATCATTTCCAATCATTTATTTCTTACTTTTACATCAAATCAATTTTAATCACTTTATTTTAAATATTATTTTAATACATTCTTCAAATTCACTAACAACTAACCATATATTTTTTAAAATTAATTATAGTTAACCAAAATAACTCATTTGAACAAATTATTAACAATCCAGCCCTAATTCATTAGTGCATCGGCCTATATCAACGGGCAGTCGTGACCTAAATATAAAACGGTCCAGAACCCAGGCCCAAAACAATAGAGATACCCAGAAAGAACGCGCAGTTTCAAGAATCTTTCCTCAACCAGAAGACGGAAGAGTCATCTGGAAATTAGGCGGTGCGCTCACTCCACTCTATAAATTCTCTCCTCCGTCGGAGTCGAAATCTCACCAGAAATCTGATCAAACCTTCCCAAGCAAAAATCAAACTCTCAATAATCTACGAAAGCAAATCTGTTAGTTAGTCCACACAGATACCGAAAAATGTCTCTGATTCCGAGTTTCTTCGGCGGTCGACGGAGCAACGTGTTCGATCCTTTTTCACTGGACGTTTGGGATCCATTCGAATGCTTCCCTTTCTCCGGCGTCGTCTCGAGCTCTCCGTCCTCTGCCAGAGAAGCCTCGGCGGTGGCCAACGCGCGGATCGACTGGAAGGAGACGCCGGAGGCGCACGTGTTCAAGGTGGATGTCCCCGGATTGAAGAAAGAGGAGGTGAAGGTCGAGGTGGAGGATGGTTCTGTGCTGCAGATTAGTGGGGAGAGGAGCAAGGAGCAGGTGGAGAAGAACGACAGGTGGCACCGTGTGGAGAGGAGCTCCGGCAAGTTTCTCCGCCGTTTCCGGCTGCCGGAGAATGCCAAGCTTGATCAGGTGAAGGCGGCTATGGAGAACGGCGTGCTGACGGTGACGGTGCCGAAAGAGGAGGTGAAGAAGCCCGAGGTTAAGGCCATCGACATCTCTGGTTAGAAATTGGATTACAAATTTTGATTGTGATATTTATATATATGAATGTATGTTGGGTTCTTGTGTTGTTTGCATTTTATGAGAGTTTCTGTGTATTTGGATATTTTGTGTGTGTGAGTTTGGGTGGATGTCAAAAAGTATGTCATGTGTAATGTAAATTGAGAAAATTGCAATGTTGTGAGTGTTATGTGGTCTCTTTGGTTATAATCTCTCGTGCAACTGGAAAATATATATGAAGCTGACTTATTATAGTGAGATTCTACGGTCTCGTTAACCATTCCGTCGGGGTATCTAACCGTTAGATCAACTATTCACGACGGTTTGGTTACAAATACCGACGGAATGGTCCCGTAATGGGACACTATCATTTTCCCTTATTATAATTGACGCTTAAGTAAAGCTATGTATAATTATCACTCTTGTATAATGTAGAAATGTCTCTGATTCCTTGTTTCTAAACTGGTTTTGATCCAGAGTTATTGTCATATAAAGTGGGTTTTGTTCTCATATAAAGAACTGAATTTTTGTGGGGAGTTTGATGCATAATACAAAAGGTGATTGAGTTCTGTTTCCTATCTCTTATAACTCTAAAGCTGCTGTGTTGCATTTTGAAACGACTTCAAGATTTTTAATCCTAGTGCAGATCAACAGAAAATTCCACAGTAATGTAACTTACCGAAGATTCTACAACAGCGACAAGTACTCGACCAAGCTCTGCAAGGACCTGTATGAAGATCCACCCGGCTCAACACAATGATTAGACTTCACTTTCAAATCTAAAGCCTTCCCTCTAAATTCTCCCCTTTCTCCATTCCCCATAATCTTTTCAATAGCCATCTCAATCTCTTCCCTTCTAAACCCGCCTTCCAAACACAAACCGACTTGCCAAACGTGCCCCACGTACCGTGCATTCACCAGCTGATCCGTAAAGCAGGGGCTGCAAATCATTGGCACCCCTTCACATACACTCTCCAACGTCGAGTTCCATCCGCAGTGCGTCCAGAAAGCTCCAACCGAAGGATGCGACAGCACTTTCATCTGTGGGGCCCACTTCACAATATACCCTTGTCCGTTTACCATTTCAAAATAATTTTTAGGTAAAGGCTCCAGCCAATCGGAGCCCTTAACTAGTCCCGGCCGGACGACCCATAGGAACGGATGCTTGCTGTCGGCCAGTCCCCAGGCTACCTCAACAAAATCTTTTTCTTCTATTGCTGCAATACTGCCGAAGCTCACGTAGATAACCGAGTCACGAGGTTGTTTGTCGAGCCACGAGATTGAACTGTGGTCTTCTTCGAATAAACTGCTACTTGAAGAGGCTGTCATCAAGTGCTTGTGAAACGGGCCTATCGGGAAGATTGGGATTTCGAAGTCCCCGCTAAGTTTTTCAATTGCCGAGTCCTCGAGTTCTTGAAAGGAGTTAAAGATTAGTCCCGACGAGGCCTTGGTTTGTTCTACCATGGCTTGCACTAGCTCATACAGTTTCTCTGGATGAGATGTGTTGATTACTGGGAGATCCTTGATTCTAAGTGGAGGAAGCTCCTCGACCGGATCTTCCAGCTTCTTCTCTTCTGCTTAGGATGGAATAACACTATTTTGAAGTACTTGAAAAGAAAAAAAAAAAAGTAGCTAAAAAACGCAGTACCTTGAACATGGAGATAGCCTCGTTCGAGTAGGGATGGAAAAGCAGCGAAAGCCAAGAAAGAACACACTCCACCGGTCCTCAGAACAAACCTCGGAACCTTCAAACTTGCACAAACCGGGGATGTGAAATGCAAGATGGCATCTGAGACCACACAGGCAACCGGTTCAGCCCAGCTTTCGGTCAACAGGTCAGTCAAGGCCAGCCTGAAGGGCTCGACACATCGGACATTGAGCATTTCAAGTAAGGAGAGAGTATCAGTTTTTGGATATCCATTGTCGATTTCGGAGATGCCAGTGTGGATTGATCGGAACGTGAAATGAGGGTGGTTGGATGGGTTTGGGGAGTTGAGACGGGCGTGGATGATGGTTATAGAGAAGCCTCGCGAATGGAGAATGTTTGCCAGCTGTAGCATAGGGCTGATGTGGCCTTGGAGTGGGAGTGGGAATAGTATCAGGCGCTGGCCGCCGGTTCTTGGCTGTTGTGGTTGTTCAGGCTGCTCTCTGGAGTTCTCCATGGATAGGACTAGTGTTGATAAATGTGTACTGGTTTGAGACTTGAAAGATTTTGAGAGATCTTATAACGGGTCTGATTTGAGTGAATGCCTAGAAATTTGTACTATCGGCATGTGAGGTGGGGCTTAAGTTTCATAATATAATCAAATCAATCATTGTTCCATCAAAACATCAACACTCTGATATTTTAACTCTTCATGAAAGATGATATATTTGGGAGTGATTCCTTAATTGACTTATTTACAGAGATAGATATAATGAAGCGGATGATCAAATACCTGCAAATCTACCTACATAATTATTTTATGAAAATATCTCTGTACAATTATTTTATAAATTTTCATAGATATTAAATTAATATAGTGTATTTTAATAATAGGCAAAATTGAATTGACGTCACGATCTTATCGACTTTTGCACTTATGTCACGATGTTGAGATCTTGGTATTTCGGTACCCAATTTTTTCTTATTTTGGAAAACCAAGCATTGACCCGGTCTTCGGGCGACCGATGCCAACATGTCAGTCAATGTAATTGATGTAGAGATGGCCAGTCCACGTGGGCAGGGCCGGCGGGCCTCCCATGGGTGGCCTTCAACCGGCCCGTGAATCGGCCATGTCCCATCTCGGTCACGAGCCGGTCAAAAGTAGAAAAATCAGACTCAGAAATGACTCGTGTCATGTCCCATCCCGTAGGCTGCAGGCGTAGCTCAGTAGGCTAACTCAATAACTCGATAGCTGCTAACGGAAATACTGAAAAGGATGCCACCTTCGGGAACTCTTTCAGGGATATCCGAGGAACATGCATGCAGCGAACTCAGGGGATTCACTCATGCATGCAAGAATGCTAGCAACAATGGGCGC